GGGGGGTGTTGAATTCATATCGAGTAGTTTAACGTCTCCTCCCGCCCGAGCCACTCTCCCGTTGACAATTGAAGTAAACGGCCGCCACAGGAGAACCGAGATTATACAGCTCCGCAAAATCTCTGGTGTTGAAATTCTGGCGCCAGCCCGGTGCATACACTGTCTGTCGCCCGAGCTGACGAAACAACACAAACACAAATCGGTGGATGCCCATAGACGGACGAGGATTCTCATAGCACACAATCTCCTGACCTGATCGATTATATGAAAAAACAAAAATAAAAACAAATTTATGCTCAATATTGTGACAATAATAACAATCCAATGTTGTGAAAAAAAAAAAGGTATTCAAAGATTCCAATACATATATGACATGACATGAATTTGATTGATGACATTAATAAAGTAGTGAGTGATGGTAGGTACTACTACTTAGGATGACTAAGTAAATTGAAAGGAACATGATGCTATGCAGCACTTAAGTAGAGAGAGAAGAGAAGATTAGGAAACATAGTATACCTTATCCACCAATGAGGACTTAGTAAAATTCAATGCGAAAAGACACACACTTAGAACATTCAAAAGACATGATTTCCTAGCTAGTAGTGATGATATTATATTATCTTATCATGTTGGAGCCATATTAATGATCATTGAGAAGTAATTAAGATACCTAAGCATCAAAAGACTTTAGTGATTCCATTATCTTGTTGTGGTCAATAATGGAAAGAAAAATTGACTAGAGAGATGGATCGATCCATCGATCAATCGATCGGGAGGAAAATAAACAGATAGAAGAATTACAAATAATTAACCTAATTAATAAAAACACATAAGATTAGGAAGAAATTAATTGACATTTGGCTCAAAACAACACCTATACTTAATTAATTAATTAAGAAACACATGGAAATTATTAATTAAGAAGAAGTTGATAATCTATCCATCGGAAAGTATTATGCATTTGTAAATTTGTATATGTAAGGTATATATATATATATATATAATTGACGCCACAATTAAATGATGATGATGAATATATATATTTTTTCAAGTACTCTTACTCACCAAATGTTGCTCCAGTTGTGGCAGGAATATCAGTAACCAGCCTACATAATTTTTAAAAAATAAAAAATAAAAAAAAATTGTTAATTAACAAATATTATATACCTACCTAATTAATAATAATTAATAAGTAGTACGTACATCTAAACAGTAGTATATATGAAAAGAAAGACATATGTACTGTATATCAATCAGAATCAGTCAGTCAGTCATGAAGCTGTGAAAATGAAAATAAAATATATATAAAAGCTAATAAGTAATAATTTCACTGTCCAATTAAGATTCGTTTTTCCATTTTTTTTTTTCTGTTTTTTTTTTGGACAATAACCAACCTTCCTGCTCTGCTGCTGCAAAACCAAATATATATCAAATGAAACAATAATATTAATTGTTAACATTTTTATTTATTTATTTATTTATTTTCTTTCTTTAGAATTAACCGAATAATAATAATGCCGTTTTTATTTTTTCTCGTGGACAATAGTTAATAATGAAAAGATTGGCAATTTGTCAAGCAAACACAACATTAATTATTCTGGCTGCTTAATCCTGGGATAGAGACTGAGCCACGATTCATAGTCACACAACTTTTCAATAACGAATAAAAATCCAAAGATATTCTACGCTCTCTGTTCCGTCGGGGTTTGTAACCGTTAGATCATCATCATGTAATCGTCGGCAGTGACGGATCTAGGAATTTTTACTTAGGAGTACCCCATTTTAAATGTTGTAACGGGCTTGTAGTTTAAGTCGAAACTCTCATTTTATATAAAAATATATTTACTATAAATTTAATTATCGATATGTGTACCATCAAATTTTTAAAAACTTAGAATACGTATCAACCTTAGACTTTTGAAATGATAAACAAAAAAATGAGATTTTATGTATTTATAATTTAAGAAGAAAATAAACAAGAAACTTTTACAAAACGCTTTGTTTATCAAGTGAACAATTTTTAAGAAAAACAAAAAATAAATAAAAAAAAAGTTTTGCAGCACATTGCATAGAATTTTTGTTGATGAGAACTTATCAAATAAACATTTTTTAAGAAAAAAATAAATAAATTTAAAAATATGTGATTACACACACAAAAAAAAAGTAAAAAATCAATACTAAAAAATGTAACAATCCAACTAAATACTGAGTTTTATAGGTCACTAAATCGATTTATAATTAAAAATTGAAAGAGTAAATCATTATAAATATTTTCAAAAAACTTATCTAAGAATATAAAATATAAAGATTGTTAGTACATGTTTTAATAAGTAAATAATGCTATTGATTTAAATTAAAATAACATAGAAAATAATTATATATTATAAATATTTTGTATATTTCTGTACATATTTATATTTTTTTTTCTTTATATAATATATATATATATTAATTTTTCAAAAAAATCAAGGAGGCCGTCTGTCTTTGACCGTCGGGGATAGTTGATCTAACGGTTACAAACCCTGACGGAATAATTTCATAACTTAACTGTAGTATTTCCCTATACTTATTAATGTGTGGGATCTCCCTATACACAGCTGTTGGGCGGGTACTAAGGGAGCGAATAAGAAGGGAAATTGAAAGAAAATGATAATAATGGGCAATGGTTTTTTAACTTAATTTGAAGAGTGTAATACTATTTTTTTTTTTTAAGCTTCAGCATACCAAAATAAATAAATAAATAAATGGTGTCATAAATTGATTTCACTCAATTAATATACATGATTTTTATTTTTTAAGCGTCATTATATTATTTATATATATTCTTACCAGTGCAAATATTCTCTAAGATTAGGATCGCTAGGGCTTGGAGCATCAGGGTCTACCATAACCTGTAATAAAAATAAAAATAAAAATAAAAAATGTTGTCTGAATTCAGAAAGAATGACACGAGAACAAAACAACCCTAAAACATAACACTAAAAAAAACATGAAAAAATTCACATTTTATATAGTTATATTTTTTTAATTTATTATCATATTTATTTATGATCACATAAAATATATTATAATACCAAAATACTAACACGATTAATATCTATGTTCATATATATATATATATATGTTAACTAATTACAGAGAAGAGAGCTTGAAAAACAGAGACAATTAATTAGGAAACAAGAAATCAAAAGCAAATACAGTTGGAATATTTGACATATTATTAAGTAAAATTAGTATGAATTATTTATGAATGAATTTAGAATTTGATTAGAAGTAGTTACCAGAGTGTAGAAAGTGCGAAGATCATCGCCACCGACATCAACTCTAGGCTGGTTAACGACTTGAGATGGCCTAAACTCACAGCCATTAGAAACTTCTCTGTTATTGTAAATAACTCTAAGTCCAATGGATCTTGTGAATGGATCTAATACTTCACCTATAACCCGACCCACTACTAGCGGGTCTCTATCCCTTGGCATTTCTTTTTTTTTT